GACCCGTGGGGTGCCACATGCGGCCCGAGCAGCAGGATGAGACGACGTGGGACGTCTGTTTACATATACGCGAAGCTGCCCCGACATACACCTAGCCAGCGGTCGAGGCTGGCCAGGGTCGTGTAGCTGCAGCGAGCAAGAAGCAGAAGGCCACAACGCACACGGGCAGGACAAAGGTGCCGAACCTGAGCACAACCAGAAAGAAACCGAGGATGGGGCACAAGGCGTGGGAGACGACGAGCACCACGACCCACGCAGGCCAGACGACAAGAAGATCTCAGCCCTGCTCCAACACCCACCACTACCAATCTTTCGGCGCACAGGTCTTGCACGACGCCAAGCCGCAGGCCACACAGCAGGCGACCTCGTCGGAACCTTCCTCGAGGCAGTCGAACGCGACGTGGCAGCCGAGGCACAAGGGGAGCTCGTCGCCTGCGAGGGACGCGCACTGCAGCACGTGGAACAGCCAGAGCCTTGGTCCTGGTGGAAGCGAGCACGAGGAAGAGGGCGACCCTCGGGGCGCACACGGCGGCGGACGAGTGGCCGCGCGCTCCAGCGTGCCCCGCCCTTGGCCTCGAGCACCTGCTGGCGCACCGCCCCCAGCGGCACGGATCACTCCGCGTCGGCACGGAGCCGTTGCGCGGCATGTGCCGAGGCGTGCCCGTCCCTCGCGGTGTGCCGATGCTTGAAGCGCGGCAGGCTCCGCGAGGACCATCTTCGACTTCTCCTTCTCCTCCCCCTCCTCTTCCACCCCTGCTCTTCCTGCTCTTCCTTCTCCTCCTCCTCCTCCTCACCCTCATCCTCATCCTTTTCCTCCTCTCTTGCCCCCCTACTCTTCGCTCTTCCTGTTCTTCCTCCCCCTCCTCCCCCTTCTCCTATCCTGCCCCACTGCTCTTCCTGCTCTTCTTTCCCCTCCTCCTCCTCATCCTCATCCTCATCCTTTTCCCCCTCTCTTGCCCCCCTACTCTTCGCTCTCCCTGTTCCTCCTCCCCCTCCTCCCCCTCCTCCTCTCCTGCCCAACTGCCCTTCCTGCTTCTCCTGCTCCTCCTCCTCCTCCTCCTCCTCCTCCTCCTCCTCCTCCTCCTCCTCCTCCGCCCCCCTCCTCCTCCTCCTCCTCTCCTCCTCCTCCTACCTCCTCTCCTCCTCCTCCTCCTCCTCCTCCTCCTCCGCTCCCCTCCTCTCCTCCTACCCTCCTCCTCCTCCTCCTCCTCCTCCTCCCCTCCTCTCCTCCTCCTCCTCCTCCTCCTCACCTCCTCCTCCTCCGCCCCCTCCACCCTCCCTCCACTCGCGCCTCCCGCTCCTGCCCGTGCCCCCCCCCCCCCCCCCGCCTCCTCCTCCCCCCCCCGGCACGGGGGCGGCAGGAGTCCGGGCTCGTTGCAGACCCTCGTGGCCGAGGCTCCGCCTTCGTCGTCGTCGTCGCCGTCGCCGTCGTCGTCGTCATCGTTGTCGTCGTCGTCGTCGTCCGTCCTCCGTCCTCCGTCTGTCGTCGTCGTCGTCGTCCGTCCTCCGTCCTCCGTCCTCCGTCCTCCGTCCTCCGTCGTCGTCGTCGTCGTCGTCGTCTTCGTCGTTGTCGTCCTCGATGTTCCTTTCGCCGTCCTCGTCGCGCTTGCTCTTTCCCACTCGTGCTCCTTCCTTCCTCCCCCCCTTCCCCCCCGTTCCTTCCAGGCGTGTTCCCTCCGAGAGGCCCGCAGCGACAGAGCAGGAGAGGAGAGGGGACGGAGGGAGGCTCCCTCGTTCCGCTCGTGCTCGCCGCGCTCCCTTGCTGCCTGTTTCTCGCGTCTCTGCTGCTGCTGCTGCTGCTGCTGCTGCTGCTGCTGCTGCTGCTGCTGCCTCCTCCGTTCCCCTTCCTCCTCCTGCTCATCATGCTACAGGCTTCCTCCTCCTCTCCCTCCTTCCTCCCTCCTGCGCCTCTTCGTCCGCTTCTCCTCCTCTCCCTTGGTCTCGTTTTCCCTGCTCCTACAGTGGGGGCGCGCATAAGAAACCATGCTCTTTTCGTGAGGGCATCCTGGGTATCTTGGCTCCGCGCGCTGCGCGGTGACTTCCCGCAGCCGCTGAAGAAGCTGCTGCGCTCAGGGTGCTCCGGGTATCCCTCAGGTGTGCCTCGCGCGCGGGTTTTCAGGGCTGGGTTTCTTGCGAGGGTCTCTTCCGGCCGCGCCCGCACTGCATTTCCCTCTCCGTCGCCCACGGCTGCCGCCTCGGCAGTGCCGCAGGGGGAGCAGGCAAGGAAGAGGAGCATCAGTTTCGAGGAGGCGCCGCGTGGGCGCCTCACCCGCCTGGTCCGAGCTAGGCCCGGACACTGTCTGCAACGTTGGTCGCATCGCATCGCCTCCCTCCTCCTCCCTCCTCCCTCCTCGCTCCTCCCTCCTCCCTCCTCCCTCCTCCTCCCTCCCTCCCTCCTCCTCCCTCCTCCTCCCTCCTCCTCCCTCCTCCTCCCTCCTCCTCCCTCCCGCTCCTCCTCCTCCTCCTCCTCCTCCTCCTCCTCCTCCTCCTCCCTCTTCAGCCGCCCTGCCGACAGTTAAGCTCAAGCTTCGACTGGAGTGACACACAGCTGGGTAGATGCTGGACATTGACGTTCTCGTGCCCGTCAGGGCTTTGCTCTGGGTCTCCCAAGTTCCATTCCGTTCTTCGTCCGGATCGTATGGATCGTGGTGTTCCTTCTGCTTTTGCCCAGAGGCAGGAATCGCACATTGGATGATACGCGCCCCGTCTTTGTTCGTTAAAGAAGACCTCTGTTCGCGCTTGGCTTTTTGCGATCAGGTGGCGATTCGCGCACTTTGCCAACGATGCGCGCCGTGCAGGACGTCTTTGGCTCGCTCTGCCACGTCCTTCGGGCCGAACGAAAGGGGGGGATAGGGAAAGGGGGGGTTACGAAATCTGCTGCATGCAGCTGGTTTCGGCCTCGCCGCCGGGCCCATTCCTCGATACACGGGCGCCTCCCGGCGCCGGGAGGCGCCGGGAAAATCAGCTGCGTGAGCTGATTCTCAAACCCCCCCTTTGCTATCCCCCCCTTTCGCCCGACCCGAGTCCTCCACCGAGTTCCTCCTCCACAGTGCAGGCGCCGAAGCAAGGACCGCTCTGGGCTCAGGAGAGGCTCTGGCCTGCGGGCCGTTCCTCGGATCAGGATCGGTGAACCTGTATTCGTGGCTGGGGCTCGCCGGAACCAGAAGAGCCCCCTCGTTCCTCCTCCTGTCCTCCTCCTCTTCTCCTCCTCCTCCTGTCCTCCTCCTCCTCCTCCTCCTCTCCTCCTCCTGTCCTCCTCCTCCTCCTGTCCTCCTCCTCCTCCTCCTCCTGTCCTCCTCCTCCTCCTCCTCCTCCTCCTCCTCCTCCTCCTCCTCCTCCTTCCTCTTAATGTTCTTAGTATTATTTTTATGTTCATCATTCTTATTAGTATTATTATTATATAATTATTATTACATTATATTATTCCTTTTACTTCCTCTTCCGCCTCCTCCTTCCTCCTCCTCCTCCTCCTCCTCCTCTCGTTCCTCTTTCTCCTCCTCCTCCTCCCCCTCCTCCTCCTCCTCCTCCTCCTCCTCCTTGTCCTGCGCTTCTCGTGGTGTGGCACGATGGTGGTGCGGCTCCCTCCTGCTGGACACCCTCTTCAGAAAACACGGGCCTACGACGACGTGAGTTTTTGGCCGTCCCCGGCGGCGTGGCAGGGGGGGAGGTTCGGGGCTCAAGAGACGGGGGTCAACGCAAACGGGGGTCAGCCAGGGCACCGGATCCTGCAGGATCCTGCGAAGACCCCCTCTGGCTGACCCGGGTTAGCAAGCCGCTCGTGGCCGCGAGGCGGCCGCGCTTATTGGCTGACCGGGGTTTGCGAAGACCTGCGTTGAAGTTTTTGTTCCTGCACTGCAGTATTTTGGTTTCCTGCTGACCCGGGTCTGGATTGACCCGGGTCAGAAGATCCCCGAAAGGTGAGAAGGGGCGGGCCTTCTCGAAAGGCTCGGAAGTTTCCCCCTCGCTCGCCGCCGAACTCCGCCCTCCCAAGACATCCTGGCCCCTCCACGGGGGCAGATCCTAATGGCCGATTTCCCCTCCTGGATGGGGACGTAGGCTGTTCCCTTCGGGTCTCGAGGGGCGCCTCCCCCCAACTGGGGCCGTGCTAAAGCTGGTGGGGGTCTCGAGGGGGATGGGGATGGGGGTGAAGATCGGGTCGACGATGCCGAGGCGAGGAGTCCCAGACCCACCCGTTGTGCTGGCCCCGGGGCCCGACCGCGGGCCCCCCCGAGGCCGAGCTCGACGAGCGGCGGCCGCGGGAGCCAGCGGATGCCTCGGCGGCCCGTCGGGCCCCGGGCCATCACCGCCCACCAAGCCACCCCAACCCAGACATCGGTCGTCTCGAAAAAATCGAGACGGAGATTTGTCGTTATTTTCGGCCTCCCGGGGCCCTCGCCGGGCCTCGGGACCGTCAGAAAACGACTCGGGATGAAGAACCGGTCCTGGGGAAGTGGTCGGGAGGTCGGGGGCCCGTGTCTCGAAAAAATCGAGACGTCAGATGTCTGGGAACCTCGCAGGCCCAGAGGTTGACATCAACACCAAGATCGGCGGTGTGCCTCCACCGAGGGAGGACGATCCCGATCTCGGCGATGGTGGTCATATTCTGGCTTCCCAAGTGACAGAAATGTTGCCACCAGCACCGGCATCTAGGATCATCTTCCCCATGTGGAGGCAACCCCCTGTGCTGGTGTTGGTGCCAATTTCCCGGCCTCCAACAACCCAGCCCGAAGGCCCCGATGTGCCCTCCATTTCCAGTGGGGGGGCGGGTCGGGGAACATCGAGCAACAACACACATATGAAGCCCGCACCCCCCCCGCCACCCCAGCCGAAATTCGGACCTTCGGGTTGGACTTGGGTGGTCTGGTAGGTGGTCAATCCGCAGTGGATCCCGGACGCAGCTCTGCCCCCGGGGGAGGGGCCGGGCTGGTTTAGGACTTCGGCGGCGAGCGAGGGGGGGAGCGCGAGACGAAGAAGGCCTCCTCAGGAGGCGGCCCGGCCTCTGAGTAGCCCTCGCGCCTTCTGGGAAGGTTTTTGCGTCCTTCGGGAAGGCTCCGGGAACTTCTCGGAAAGCCAGGGGGCTTCCGAGCCTTCGGACAAGGCCCGCCCCTTCTCGCATCCCAGACCTCCTCGAGTCATGAAAAAATCACGACGGGAGGTTTTTCGCTATTGTCGCCCTCTGGAGGTCCTCACCGGGCCGCGGGAGCGTCAAAAAACGACTCAGGATGAAAAACCGGTCCCGGGGAAAGGGTCCAGACCTCTGGGGGTCGACGTCATGAAAAAATCATGACGTCGGGGGTCTGGGGGGCTTCCGAGCCTTCGGACAAGGCCCGCTCCTTCTCGCGTCCCCTCCGCGCTCGCCGCCAGATGCAAAGTCGCCGCGGCCTCCCGGCCTGGGGAGGGCGCCCCCCCGGCCACGGGGCACAAGCTCCGCCTCGGCCGCAAGGTTCGCCGTGGGACTTGCCCCTGGCATCGCTCGGACGTGTGCATTTTTTCTCGGCGAGAACCATCGAGGAGCGTCCTTGATCATTTGGCGAGAAAACCACGCACGAAATCGAAAAGAACACAGGGAATGGACGTCCGAGCGATGGCGAGAGCTCCGCCTCGGGCGCAAGGTTCGCCGTGGGGCTTGCCGCGGTGCCGACTCCGCCTTCTCGGGCGCGTTCCGAGCAAACGCCGCGGCGATGTACTCCAGATTTCGTAATAAAAGGGAGGGGGTCTGGACCCTCCAAGACAAGCCATTTCAGACCTCCCCCGTGGGAGAACCCTCCAAAACATCGTCCCCAGACCCCCCAGGCCCTCCAAGATAGCCTGGAAGAGACCCCCCCCCGAAATGAGACCCCCCTCCCTTATTACGAAATCTGGAGTAGCCTCGGAGGCCCGGGAGCTCCTCGCTCCCCTTCGACGGCGCCCCCCCGGCGCGGCGCCGACCCACGACCGCCCGCGCTGCTGCCGGGGCGCCGCCTGCAGCACAGAGCCGCAGGCGCCCCGCCGGTCTGGCCCGTGGTCGCCGCGGGGCGGCGCGCTCCTCGGCGTCGCTCGGGGTGCCGGCGCCCCCATGCGCATCTCCATCTCAAAGCCCATATACATCGGTCGTCTCGAAAAAATCGAGACGGAGGTTTTTCGTTATTTTCGGCCTCCCGGGGCCCTCGCCGGGCCTCGGGACCGTCAGAAAACGACTCGGGATGAAGAACCGGTCCTGGGGAAGTGGTCGGGAGGTCGGGGGCCCGTGTCTCGAAAAAATCGAGACGTCAGATGTCTGGGAGGCGGAAGCCGTGGCGGCCCAGGGGGGCCGGTTGTCGTTCAGAAGCCCGGCAGTCGGAAGAAGAACAGATGCCGACGCCGCCACCCGTGCCGCTTCGGAGTCCTGGTCAGAACGCACCCCAGGAGGTCCGGGGAGCGGCGGTGTCGGCATCTTTCGCCCCCCCAAGCAGAGCGCAGCAGTTGCTGCCGCCAGGCAAGCCGCTGATAATCAGCGTGCCCCGTATGGAACTGTGCGCCTCGGGCCTCGGTCGTGGTCCCCACGGGATCATGGCCGGGAGGGCGGGTAAGAGGTGGCGGGCCGTGCGTGCTGGCCGCTGCGAGGGCGGCGGGTGAGCGCAAGTCAGAGGCTGAGGCAGGCGTGCCGAATGACGAGTGCTGCCGCGTCGAGGCTCTGCACCCGGCGAGGCGCAGGTCGAAGGTTCCGTAGGGGCTCGCGCGAAGCAGGCGAGCGGGGGAAGTTCATGTAAGGCGCTTGTCCAGAGGGGAAATGGAGGGAAAGGAACGGGAGAAGGACGGTAAGAGCGATGATGGGGAGGGTGCGAAGAAGATCGAAGAGGCAACCGGAGGAGATGGAGAATGAGGAGGAGAGGGGCATGGACGCGGGTCGCACCACGCAGCAGCGACGGCAGCAGCAGCAGCGCCAGCAGCAGAAGCAACGCGAGAGGTTCTTTTCCATGGACGTCCTTTTGTGCATCTGATGATGCTGATACAGCGTGGCAGAAGGCCCTTCATGATTGTCCTCTCTACTTTGGTGTTCATTCGTTGTTTCGCTGTCCACTGTCATGGCCGCCCATCCCATCATGGGTACAGTCGGGCTGCTGAAAGAAGGAACGATAAACAAGGAACGAAGCCCCTTTTTGGCCTCACAAGCGCCTGCGTGCACGAGGAAGGCTAGAGGAAAAGCCATAGAAGGACCTAAGGAATATCGAGCCCCTTTCTTACCCAAACTGTTCCTTATTTCAGCGACTTGGCTTTAAATGCCCTGGCTCATTCTTGATGTCACCCACCCCCTCGTCATTACACATGTGCGTGTGTGATACAGTCTCTCTCTTTCTCTCTCTCTCTCTCCCTCTCCCTTTCCCACCCAGTATGGCGCCTTATATACGTTTACAGCTCTTTAAGTATCACTCCTCTCCCTCTCTCTGGGTCTTTCTGGGTCTCTCTCTCGCTCTCTCTCTCTCTATATATATATATGTATATATATATGTATATATATATATATATATATATATATCCCTTGCCCCCTCTCAAAATACATGGTTTCAATTACACCATGTGCACATACGGAGCACGTGTATACATAGATGCGCATGCACATTTATACGTGTATATGCACACCTACCTGCGGGAAACCCCGCCACCGTGTTAGTGCAGCAACGCATCAAGGAAAAGGAAGAGCTTGGGTTTACGTCCCGCTCGAGTTCAGCGCCTCGATTGAAAAGTCTCCCAGGTCCAGAAAACATTTCTCGTTGTCCGCAGTTTCGTTCTGTTTTTGCTTCCTCGTTCGTCTTGATGTTCCATGTTGGACGCTTCTTTGGGGCTCCGTTGGGCCTCTTGAGGGCCTCGTTGGCCTTTTCGGGGACCTATTGGAGGCTTGTTGGGGCCCTGTGGGGCCCCGTCAGGGGCCTGGGAGCCTGGGGGCAGTCTTGGCCGCGACGGTTCTACATAGCTCCTCCCTCAGAGGCTCGCTTGAACAATCCTGGGGGTCGCCTTGCCAGTTCTTGGGGCCGTCTTCGAGTATGCTTGGGTCGTTTTGATGGGTTGTCGGACAGTCTTGGGGCTTTCTTGTGACGCTTTTCGAGCCGTCGTTGGGGCATGTTGCAGCTCTCTGAAGCTCATCCGATGCTATCTGCCGCTCAATAGCTTCGGGAGCAAAACACATGTCCAATGTGTTGTTTCGCCTCATAGGGCCTCCTGGAGGCCTATTTGCGCGTCTCTTGAAGACTTGTCGAGGCCTCTTGGGCGTGTCGAAGATGTCTTGGAGCCCTCACGGGCTCGGTTGGCTGTCATTTGATGGTATTGGGGCGCCTTGTACGTTTTAGGGCGGCCGTTGGTTGCCTTGGCGGAGCAACGTGGGGGGGGCGTCTTTCGGAGGCTGGTTGTGCCGAGAGAGAAAGAGAGAGAGAGAGAGAGAGAGATAGAGTGAGAGAGAGATAGAGAGAGAGAGAGAGGAAGGTTTTTGGGCTGGCCCTTCAAACCAGGTCTCCTGGCGAAGGACCCAGCCATGTGCTAGCGCCGTTGTGAACACATGCCGTCGGTGGAGCCCACTACGGGCCACGAAGCGTGTGAAGGCAGCGCCGACATGAGGCGGGGCTACCATGCGGGCGCGGCATGCGAACGCAGCCAGGTGGGGCCTCCGGTGTAGCCCCCCTTATCGGGCCACGAAGCGTGTCAGGGGTGTGCCAAAGTGAGGGGGGTGGCGGCATGCGAACGCAGCCAGGTGGGGCCTTCGGTGGAGCCCCCCTATGGGGCCACGAAGCGTGTGAGGGGTGTGCCAAAGTGAGGGGGGTGGCGGCGTGCGAACGCAGCCATTGGGTCCTTAGGTGTAGCTCCCTATCGGGCCACGAAACGTGTGAAGGGTGTACCAAAAGTGAGGGGGAGGCGGCATGCGAACGCAGCCACTGGCGCCTTCGGTGGAGCTCACTATGGGGCCACGAAGCGTGTGATGGGTGTGCCAAATTTAGGGTGGTGACGGGAGGAGGGAGGAGGGGAAGAAGGAGGGGAGGATGAGGGGAGGAGAGGAGGGGACGCGGGAGCTTTCTCTTCAAAACGAGGACCCCACACCACAGGACGGTTGGGAATAAAAACGCCACCCTGTGTAACCAACAAACATCTTAACAAGACCCAGCGTGCCGAAGGCACAGTTGCGATTGCGGTTACGGTTGGCACATTATGTGATGTCGTTGCCATAAGGTTAATCACATGTATTAGTTCGCAATCTCTCGCAGCCCCAAGGTTTTGGACATGCAGCCCCGTACGTTATGACACGGGTATGTCATTTTCGGTCGATGAGTGCGCGCGCAGTTGTCTGCCTGGCTGCCATCCAGTTTGCTCCACTATGGTTGAATCCGCCTGCAGTCACGCGTTCAAGGTTGGGTTTTCATCTCGGGCTGGCACATGTGGCCAGCCACCAGTTGTCGAGGAGCCAAAAGACCCCGCACCGATTCCCGCGCCGTCCCGTCTGCACCTCCTGTTGCTCCCCGCGCTGCGTTCTCTCGTGCCGTCCTGCATGCACTGGCTGCATGCACCTTCACTTTTCACATCTTCGAGACTCTCTCTCTCTCTCTCTCCCGTTTGTTGTATCTCTCTCTCTCTCTCTAGATCTCTGTTTTGTTTTTTTTTGTTTTTTTTTGTTTTCTCTCTCTCTCTCTCTCCTTTGTTTTATCTCTCTCTCTCTCTCTACCTCCCTGCCCCGCCTCTGGTATCCCCCCCTCTTCTCCTCGCCCCCACTCCATTCCTCTCCCCTTTCCCTCCCTCCACAAGTACTCAATCTGAATACTGCTCTCCTCTCTCCTTGGAAAACGGCCTGAGAGTCCCGCGCCCCCCTTCCGCGTATTGCTTGCAATCCAGGAGGGGTTCGAGTTGTTTGTTCTTATATCCGTGCGTTCTCGGTCCTTCCAAAATCGTGTTCCCACTGCGGCGTGCGCCTCATTTTTAGGATCGGGGCGTTCTGCTTGGCGCTCTCGCCCCAGCGCCGGCCACTGTTCTGGATTCCGAGTCCTTCCTCATCGTTGCCGCCCCCCTCTTCTTCCCTTCTCCGCCTTCCCCTGGTCCTCCTGCTCCTCCCGCTCCTTCCACTCCAGTTCCTGCGGTTGCTGTTCGCCCCCGTCCTCCTCTTTGCTCATCCTCCGCAGTTTTTTTCTGCTCCTCCTCATGCTCATCCGCCGCCTCCTCGTCCTCCGATGTACGCAGCTCCCTTTTCCCATTGGGGATCACACCATTGGATCTTTTTCCCAACCATCTTGTGGTGGTGGGTCCTCGTTTTGAAGAGAGATCGCCCCGCGTCACCTCACTCACTCCCGCTGCCCCCTCCCTCCCATCCCTGCCTCTGCTCTCCGCATGTCCACCGGTTCGGAGCACCCATCACACACTTCGTGGCCCCATAGGGAGCTCCACCGAAGGCTCCAAGGGGGTGCGTCCACATGCGTCCCAGGCACTCATTCCAGCACACTCCTAAAACGGTTCGTGGCCCCATAGGCAACTCCACCGAAGGCCCCAGTGGCAGGGTTGACATGCGTCCCCGCGATTCATTTCGGCACACCCCTCGCACGGTTCGTGGCACCATAGGGAGCTCCACCGAAGGCCCCAGTGGCAGGGTTTACACGCGTCCCCGCGACTCATTTTCGGCACACCCTTCACACGGTTCGTGGCACCATAGGGAGCTCCACCGAAGGCCTCAGTGGCAGGGTTTGCATGCGTCCCCGCGACTCATTCCGGCACACCCCTCACACGGTTCGTGACACCATACGGAGCTGCACCGAAGGCCCCAGTGGCAGGGTGTACATGCGTCCTCGCCGCGACTCATTTCATTTCGGCACACCGCTCACACGGTTCGTGGCCCCATAGGGAGCTCCACCGAAGGCCCCAGAGGCAGGGTTTACACGCGTCCCCGCGACTCATGTCGGCACACCCTTCACACGGTTCGTAGCACCATAGGTAGTTCTTACGAAGGCCCCAGTGGCAGGGTGTACATGCGTCCCCGCTGTTCATTTCGGCACACCTCACTCACGTTGTCTCCTCGACTCATTTCGGCGCACCCCTTCACGGTTTATGGCCCCATAGGGAGCTCCACCGAAGGCCCCAGTGGCAGGGTTTACAAGCGTCCCAGCGACTCATTTCGACACACCCTTCACACGGTTCGTGGCACCATAGGTAGTTCTTCCGAAGGCCCCAGTGGCAGGGTTTACATGCGTTCCCGCGGCTCATTCTGGCACACCTCTCACACGGTTCGTGGCCCCATACGGAGCTGCACCGAAGGCCCCAGTGCCAGGGCTTACATGCGTCCCCGCGACTCATTCCAGCACACTCCTCACACGGTGCGTGGCCCCATAGGCAACTCCACCAAAGGCCCCAGCGGCAGGGTTCACATGCGTCCCCGCGACTCATTTCGTCACACGGTTCGTGGCCCCATAGGGATCTCCACCGAAGGCCCCAATGGCAGGGTTGACATGCGCCCCCGCGACTCATTCCGGTACACCCCTCACACGGTTCGTGGCACCATAGGGAGGTCCACCGAAGGCCCCAGTGGCGGGGTTTACATGCGTCGTCGCGACTCATTCCAGCACACTCCTCACAGGGTTCGTGGCCCCATAGGGAGGTCCACCGAAGGATCCAGTGGCAGGGTTGACATGCGTCCCCGCGACTCATTCCGCCACTCGGTTCGTGGCACCATAGGGAGCTCCACCTAAGGCCCCAGTGGCAGGGTTTACATGCGTCTCCGCGACTCATTCCAGCACACTCCTCACACGGTTCGTGGCACCACAGCGAGCTTCACCGAAGGCCCCAGCGGCAGGGTTCACATGCGTCCCTGCGACTCATGTCGGCGCACCTTTCACACGGTTCATGGCACCATAGGGAGCTCCACCGAAGGCCCCAGTGGTAGGATTTACATGTGTCCCCGCGTCTCAATTGGAGGAAGAGACGCTTGGGCAAGAAGCCTGGAATTCTCCACGGCGCAAAGCCCCTGGACCTGGAGACCCCATCCCGGGGACAAGATTTTAAGTTCCTGGTATTTTTTCTCATAGCCCCAGACCCCAAAACGGCCTCCCTCGTCCGTCTCATCTCCCTCGCGGTACTAGCAGCTGCAAATGGTTGGGTCCTTCGTCAGGCTAATTTGGGAATGCCAGGTCCGCTATGACATGCGTCCGCGGATAGAGAACGGATTAGCGCAATGGAAAGGGATGGGTGGGAGGGGTAGGGTGTCAGACATGGCTCGAGCACACCTAGCTTGTCACCTCCCCTGTCCTCCCTCCCTCCTCTCCTCTTCCCTCCCTGCCTCCTCCCATCCCTGCCATTTTCACCAGCCACTGTCCCCCCTCCTGGTGCACGAAGATCCTGGGCGGCCTGGTTCGTGGCCGTCCTGTTGGACCGGCTGTCGCTGGGCCTGCTGACGTCTGCGGTGCGGCCCAGGCCGCTGCCTCCAGTTGGGGGGAAGAGGGAGAGGGAGGAGGAGGCAACATGGAGCACGAAGGAGGAGGGAGGAGGAGCGGGAGAGGAATGATGCGCAGGAGAGGGAGGAGGAGGAGGAGGAGGAGGAGGAGGAGGAGGAGGAGGAGGAGGAGGAGGAGGAGGAGGAGGAGGAGGAGGAGGTGGAGGAGGAGGAGGAGGAGGAGAAGGATGAGGGAGGTGGGAAGAGGGAGGTGGGAGCGCCCAAAATTTAGACGGATTGATGACATACGCAAACATGTACAATAAGCCTTGGGTAAACCGGCTGACTGAGATGGAGGCCTGGCTCAGCACACAGAGAACACCAACATAGAGCGAGCTCGAGCCAAGTTCTCTGCACCGTGCCCTGAGCCTTACGTGATACCCCGCCCCCAACTCATTCGGGCATTGCCTGTCGGTGTTCCTCTCCTGTCTCCTTTCTTCCTCCCCCGCTCCCACCTTCTGCCCTCCCTCTGCATTTCAGACCCCCCTCCCTCCTGCCTTCCCATCCTCCTACTCACCCTCCATCCGGAGCGGCCGAGGGCGATGGCTGACTCCCCGAGATCTTGAGGGATGGGTGCCCAGGCCACGTGGAATATGGCGGCCAGGCAGTTCACAGGCAACTCCTTCAACCCCTCCTCCCCAGACATCTGACGTCTCGATTTTTTCGAGACACGGGCCCCCGACCTCCCGACCACTTCCCCAGGACCGGTTCTTCATCCCGAGTCGTTTTTTGACCGTCCCGAGGCCTGGCGAGGGCCCCGGGAGGCCGAAAATAACGAAAAACTTCCGTCTCGATTTTTTCGAGACGACCGATGTCTGGGGTCTCTCCTCTCCCTTCCCGGAGGCTCCCCGCCTCCCCTTTCGGGGCGAACCCGCGGCCGAGGCCGAACTCCCGGGCGGCGGCGCTGGAGCTGGCGGAGCTGCGGCGGCGCAGGCCCGCGCGGGGAGGTGTATGTCCCAGACCCCCTCGCGTCGTGAAAAAATCACGACGGAAGGTTAATCGACTGATGCTCGACGCAGCTTCGACGCACGAGTGGAGCGAGTGGCTCCAGGAAGGCCCCCAGAACGAGCACCCGGTGTGTGTGTGTATGTGTGTGTGTGTGCCGCTTGTCCCGCCCGTCGCCTTCCGGCGCCTGCCTCCGCCCCACCGGCTGCCTCGGTCGGGCTGCCTGCCGGTCGACCCTCCCTCGGGGAAGCGGCCTGGACACGCTCTCCCGGCGGTCCGCGCGGCTTTCTTGGACAGGCGCTGGGTCTCCCGGCGCCGGACCCAGACCTCCGACGTAATGATTTTTTCATTACGTCGACCCCCAGAGGTCCCGACCCTTTCCCCATGACCGGCTTTGCATCCTGAGTCGTCTTTTGACGCTCCCGAGGCCCGGTGAGGGCTCCCGGAGGCCGAACATGAAGGAAAACCTCCCGTCATGATTTTTGCACTACTCGAGGGGGTCTGGGGAGGCTGGCGCCCTCGCGCGCCAGGGAGGGAGGTCCATCGCAGCTCCAAGACGTCCGCGCGGACCTGCGAAGGTTTCTATGATCATGCCGTGCGGCGTCCCTCGATGTCTCAGGAGTGGAAAAAACACACAGACACAATGAATCGTCGATTCCCAGAAAATATAGGAAAATATGGGAAGTGGGGGGGAAGACAGAAGCCCAGAACATATGCGAAAATATGGGGGATCCTTTTATTTCTGTGCATTTATTTGTGTGTCCTGGGGCCCCTTCAATGCCGACCCTCCACCCTTCCGGTGTGCCGCCGCACTTCCACGCTGCGCCCTTCTCGCCCCGCGCGCCGCAACTCACCTCCTACCTGCCGCCACCCGCCCCCTCCCCCCCTCTCCTTAGGATGCAGCTCCTCAGAGACCAAATCCTGATTTTGCCCTGGTCCGAAATCCCTCTTAATCCGGCTTAGTCCCGCCTAATCCCGTCGAATCCGGCTTCATCCCGCTTGATCCGAGGCCCACTCCGGCGCAACAGCCCCCCAAGTGGGGCTTGATCCTCCTCAGTCCTTCCGACGAACAAGCCTCCCAGCAGTTGGCCTCCCAACCCCCTTTCCCTCCGCGCCCCCGCGCGAGTGGCCCGGTGGATTCCGGTGGATCCTTGCATGGGCGGATCCCGGTCTCCCCGCTGCGGGAGCTGGCCCGGCCGCGCGGTTTCTCTCCCCCTCGACACTGCGCTCGCCCGACGCCGCGCCGCCGCGCGCGTGGCCGCGATGTCAAAAAGTGTGTGTGTGTGTGTGTGTGTGGTGCTTGATTGGAAGTGGCACGTCCTCCTCTGCAGTGCTTGAGGCTGGTGTTCACGACGTGCCGTTGACGGCAACACCACATCGCCCATCCCCCCCCGATCTGCGCCCCCGGTCCCGGTCCGCCGCGTACCTTTTCCTGTGCAAGCTCTTCGGCACCGCCTGCACCCCGGGCCCCGCCCGCTCCGGCCGCCTGAGGCCCCGCCTTCCTGTGCCCTGTCTCCCTAATTAAAGCTGTGCGTGGCCCGCCTAGCTTGTAGCGGAAGAGGTTCGCTCTCGCCCCGCAGATAAAAAAAGTGTGTGCTGCTTGATTGGAAACCGAAACATATACGACACCAGTGGCGGGCTGTTCTTCAATCCCAGGATCTCTGGAGGGTCGAGGACGACGCTGGGGTGGTGTGGTGTATATTTTTGTTCCCCGACGTCCTGGGGAAACAGCGAAACATGTATACACCAGGGTCCCGTATACACCAGTATCCGCTCTCCAGTGCACATTCTACTGCAGGGCCGGAAGAAGCGTCGGTGTATAGAGTTCGATCCCCTACTTTAGGCCGACACTCGAGACGAGCCTCCAGTGGTCGTCGCGCGCCCGAGCGGGGTGGTACGCACAGTGTTCTACATTAGAAGGTCATTAGAAGGTTCGCTTGCCTCCGAAAGGTCATTATCAGGGGTCGTATCTGCATTGGTCGTCGACCTCATCACGGCTGTTCCGTGCGGAGCATTGCCCGCACGGCTGGGACACGCCTGCTATGCGTGACGATGCTGCTCGGCGCGAGCGCGAGCTTTTCCTCCTGCTCGTCGCCGTTGCCGCCGTCGTCAAGGTAGCCCTTTCTCTAGACACGAGAGACCAATTCACTACAAGCCGAGAGTAAGTCACGGCAAAGTGAGACTAATTTGCGAAACGGGTGGGACGGCGAACGTGGGAGGCGATCGCCTCCCACTTTCGTGTTCGCCTCCCGCTTTCGCTCGCATGCCGCATTCGCTCGCCTCCCGCTTTCGCTTGTCCCCCACTTCCGCTTGCCTCTCGCCTTCGTTCGCCTCCCGCTTTTGTTTGCCTCCCAATTTCGTGCTTGCCTTCCGCACTCGCTCGCCTCCCTCTTTCGTGCTCGCCTCCCGCTGTCGCTCGCCGCGCGCTTTCGTGCTTGCCTCTCGCGTTCGCTCGCCGCCCACTTCCGTGTTCGCCTCCCCCACTCGCTCGCCTCCCGCTTTCGTGTTCGCCTCCCCCTTCGCTCGCCCCCCGCTTTCGTGTTCGCCTGCCGCTTCCGCTCGCCTACCGTCTTCGCTCGCCGCCCATTTTCGCTCGCCTCCCGCTTTCGCTCGCCTCCCACTTTCGTGCTCGCCTTCCACTTTCGCTCATCGCTCAGCTCCCACTTTCCCTCCCCTTCCATTTTCGTTTTTCCTTGCCGTGAATGTGTCTCTGGTCTTGCCATTGAGTCCTTCTGCCGCCAGACGCACGTACCTATTCCGTCGTCCTCGTTTTATGCCGTCATCGTCGTTGTCTTCCTCCCCGTCCTCCTCTGGTCCGTCCTGGTCCCGGTCGTCGTGGACCTCTTCCTCCCCGCCCTCCTCCCCCCCCACTCCAGGGGAGGACAAGGACGAGGAGGACGCGGAGGAGGAGGGAGTAGGGGCCCTCCTCCACGCTGCCAGGACGAGGAGGGCGAGGATGAGGAGGGAGTAGGGGCCCTCCTCCTCGCTGTCAGGACGAGGAGGAGGAGGGAGTAGGGGCCTGAGCGGGAGAAGGAGGAAGAAAGGACGGACCTGGGGCGCTGCAGATCCAAAACGAGGACCCAACGACACAGGAGGCTTGGAAACAAAATCGAACAACATGGCCGCGCACTCGACATGCATTGACATGCTCACCAACCGTAGCCCGCTTCACCTCGACCTGCCCTTTCTGAAACCTTGGCCCCGCTGCCACGACAGGAGGAGGAGGAGGAGGGAGTCGGGGCCCTTTTCCTTTCCTGCTTCTCCTCCTCCTCCTCCTTCTCCTCCTCCTCGTCCTCCTCTTCCTCCTCCTCGTCGTTGTCCTCCTCCTCTTCGTTGTCCTCGTCCTCGTCCTCGTGCCCCCCGTGCCGGCGCGGAGGTGGCTGCAGGCGTGGGCCCTGGCGCGCTCGCCCGCCTTCGAGCTGCTCCTGCGGCGCCCCGCCGAGAGACTGGAGCCGCGGCGAGGGGGGCGCGGGTGTCTATCGGGGGTGGACAGAACCCCCAACAGTGACACGTCGATTAGTGAATTGTCCGTTTTCGGTTCTCGAGAGGGCGCCGTGGCCGCTATTTTCCAGGCTTGCGCCCGCCAGGTTTGGGCCTCAGGTCGTTTTCACTAAACCACGTTTTACTAAAGGGGGGTCTGTCCATCCCCGAGTCTAGGCCTCGAAGATTTAAGCCGGGCCCGTCCCTCTGGGGGAATATTCAAAAACAGTCCCAAAATAGTTTTTGGGACGATTTTTTTTTAGTATGTCTGGGTATGTCTGGAATGTTTTTGGAGTCTTTTTTACATTTGTTCGCTCGAGATCCGCCTGTAGGGAAGTCTGGGCCTCCTAGATGGGTTCCGAGTAGACGGGGTCCGAGGACCGCGCCGTATCGCCGAGGCATCGGCGATGTGGCTCGATGTGGGGCACGATTTTCTCCACGCCGATGGCGCCGATGCTTCGCCGGCGCCGCCAGCGCATCGCCAATGTATCGGTGATGCGGCGAGATCCTCCGACCCCGTCTACTCGGACCCCGACTGGGAGACCTCTAGGGCGAGGGCGGGCGCGGGCGGCCGCCGGGAGGAGGAGCGGAGCAGCAGGAGGAGAGTGCCCGAAGGCCAGTGCCCGAGGACGATGCTCAGAGGAGGAGAATGTACCCCTCGGCTACCTTTTCCTCGTTTTCCCCTTTGTGCGCCTCCTGGGCGGCTCTCGTCGCCACCGCTGGATTCGCCTCGAAGTCCTGGTCAGGACGCATCCCAGGAGAGGTCCGGGGCGTAGCAGTTCTGGTACCTTGATTTTGATTTCCCCAGAATGCGCGTGCACGAGGACGATGCATGGGATGGAATCGGTGGTGCAAAGGTGGGGTCCTGACTGATGGGGTCCTAAGGCTAGGAAGGGATGCAAGGGTGGATTTACGTCGTTTAAGGCACCTCGTCCTCAGGACCCCATCCCTCAGGACCCCATCTTTGAATCACCGAATGGAATGCCCGAAGGGGAGTGACAACATGCACTGCAGGCGGCGTAGGCGCTGTGCGTCAGGGCTCGTCGCCATGACGCACACGGCACAGCGTCAGAACGGGGATGGGAGCGATGAGGAGGAGAGGGAGGACGCGGAGGAGCCACCCTCCCTCCCTCCCCTCCCTTCCTCTGCACCTTCTTCCCACTTCCCCACGCTGCCTCTTCCCCCCCTCCTTACCTCGCTGCCTCTTCCCCCCCTCCTTACCTCCGTCCCTCCCTGACCCCCTCCCCCCTCGCTCACCCTCCTCGCCCTCCTGCCGCCTCTTCCTCCCCATCGCCTCGATCTTGCCCCCGCCCTTGACCGCCCTGTGCCCCCTTCGCCCCCCCCTCGTGGCTTCTTCATGCCGGCGGACCTCGCCGTGCCGCTCTCCGCACCGCTGTTCGTCCGCATCGCCACTAGCTGCATCAATAGCCACAAACTCCTCTGTCCCCTCCCCCCTCTCCCTCCTCCACCTCCTCCTTGTCCTCCTCCACCTCCCTCCTCATACTTCTCACTCCTCCCTCCTCCTCCCTCCTCCCTCCTCCTCCTCCTCCTCCTCCTCCTCCTCCTCCTCCTCCTCCTCCTCCTCCTCCTCCTCCTCCCCTCCTCCCTCTCCCTCCTCCCTCCTCCCTCCCCTCCTCCCCCTCCTCCTCCTCCTCCTCCTCCTCCTCCTCCTCCTCCTCCTCCTCCTCCTCCTCCTTCTCCTATGGACTGTGGACCGAAGACATGGGATCCCTCCGGTGCTGCCATGGGTCCGTGCCGCATGGTACCGGAGGCGGGGCCCATTCCGAAGATGGGCCCATCACCGTTGGTGGGGCCAGCGACGGACGAGAGCCGGGGGTGGATAGATTCGGGGAGCAAAAAGTGGCATAAACATAAAAACTCGGAGGTCCGCGCGGATTTCTCGGATCGGCGCTGGACCCCCTGCCCTGGCGCGCGGAGCGCGCCAGGGGCGGCGGCGGCGATGGGGGTGGGGGGGAGCGGAGGGGGGGGAAGGGGCCTCTTAGAAGCACCCCTGCTGCTTGGGAGGCGCGGGCCTTGTCTATACAGATGCAGAGGCCGGCGCCTCCTCAGAGCAGAGGCAGCCTCCTTCTGAGCAGCCCTCCCCCCTCCCTCCACCCGCCCTCTGCGCACCGCCAGTGGGGTCCAGGTGCACGAGGTGGCGGTCGCTCGCCCTGGTGGTGCCGGCGCTGGTGGTGCCGGCCCCGTGGTGGTGCCGGTGGGTCGCGGGGTTTGTGCTGGTAGGGCGTGGGTCGAGTGCTGGTGTCGGTGGCTGGTCGCCGTCCAGGCCGTTCACCTCGTGGCAGTGTTGCTCCTCTTCTGGGCTTTGCTGTAATTGACGCCACTGGTCTGTCTCTGCCGCGAATTGCCACGGAGTGCACGGGTTACCCGAGAGCTGTTGCGGTCGCTCCTTTTCCCCCTTCAAAATTGCGCTGGGAAAGAAGTGTTGCTCCTGGCCGTTGTGGCAGTGCTGATGGTTGCAGTCGTGGCGCTGCTGCCGGTCGGAGTCGCAGTGCACAAGGTGGTGCTGTTGGTTGCTGGGTGGGGCGTCTGGTGGGGGTCGGACTGAGGCCCCGTCGCGGTGCTGCTCTCCGCAGCCCTTGGTGTTGTTAATCGTCCGTCGGTGTGGAGCGTCGGGAGCAAGCAGTTGTGTTAGGTTCGGACGCCATGCGTGCGTCGATGCTGGGTTCGGTGCTGGCGTTTGTGCTGGCCCTGGTGCTGGAGGCCTTGCCATCCATCTTCGATGAGGCCGACGCTGTTGATGTTGGTGCCGTCGGTGCTGGCATGGCTGCTGGAGTCGATGCTGGCGTCGGTGCGTGGGGCTGGCTATTGTGCAGACGTCGATGCTGGCGAGGCTCATGGTGTCGGTGGCGCTTATCTTCCTCCTCCTCCTCCTCCTCCTCCTCCTCCTCCTCTATTGCCCCCTCCACCTCCTACTCGGCTATGATCTGCACCATCCTGGTGGTCATCTGGCCTCGGTGCTGGGGTCGATGATGGGTCGATGCTGGTGTCGGTGCGGACGACGATGACGGCTCCGGTGCTGGAGTCGATGTTATCTTCGGTACTGATGTCGATGCTGGCACGAGTGCTGGCTTTGATAGGCTGGCGGGTGGATCGCAGGATGGGGCGTCAGAGAAGGAGTCTGGGAGGGCATAAGACATGGCGTCGGTGGGAGCGTCGGGCATGACGTCGCACGCCTGGTCGGCGAAGCGCACCTGTCGGGGTCAGGGTGTCTGTCGATCGGCGCGTAGGAGGGCTGGCTTCAATGCTGTCGTGAGGGCTGATGCGGGTGTCGAGGCTGGCGTGGGTGCAGGCGTTGATGCTGATGTTGGTGATGACGTAGAGGCAGGCTCTGGTGCTGGAGTCAGTGTCGTGTTGTGTGGTGGCGTTGATGCTGGGGTTGATGTCGGCGTCGGTGCTGGGGTAAATGCCAGTACTGGTGCCGCTGCTATGGCCGATGCTGGCGTAGGTGCGGGCGTCGATACTGAGGCCGATGCTTGCGCAGGTGCGGGCGTCGATGCAAACTCCTGTGCTGGAGTCGGTGCTGTACTCGGTGCTTGCGCTGGCTTCGGTGTTGTCGTGAGGGCGGATTCCGTTGCTGGGGTCGGCGGCGGTGTCGATGTTGGCATGGATGCGGATTCCGATGCTGGAGTTCGCAGTCTCCTTGATGCGATTGTCGTTGTTGGCATCGATGCGGGTGTCGGTGCTGGCGTCAATGATGGGGTACGTGTTGGCGTCGGCGGGTGTGTCCATGCAGGCCCCTGTGCTGGAATCGATGCTGATTTCGGTGCTGGTGTCGATCTGGCGTCGTTGTTGGCGCTAGTGTTGGCGTCGATGGTGGGATCGATACTGGCGTCGATGCTGACGTTCGTGCCAGGTGCGGTGCTGGGGTCACTCCTGTCTTTGACGTTAGTGTCGTTAATGGCTTCGTTGCTGGCGTTGATGCTGACGTCGGTGCTGGCGTCAGTGCTGGCATCGGTGCTATAGTCATTCGATGACTGCCTGCGTCGGTGTAGATTTGTATGGTGGCGCCTATGTTGGCTTCGATACTGTCGTGAGCGCTGGACCCGGTGCTGGGGTCGGCGGCGGTGTCGATGATGGCCTGGATGCAGGTTCCGATGCTGAAGTCGGTCGTGTCCTCGATGCGATCGTTGGTGTTGGCGTCGATGCGGGCGTCGGTGCTGGCGTCGATGATGGGGTTGGTGTTGGCGTCGGCGGGTGCGTCCATGCAATGCAGGCTCCTCCTCGATGGCAGCCTCCATGGCCCCCACTATCGCTGTCATGGCCTCCAGGTCCTCCACCTCCTCGGCAACAGCTCCCAAGACCATCCCCTCCACGAGGCCCGCCCCGTGGGTGGGAGCCGGCCCAGGTTGGCAGCGCTGGCGTCATCCCGTGGCCTGCAAGGCCCCCACCGCCCAGAGTCCGGTGAGGATCAAGGCGCGATGCCACCAAGCGAGGCCGCGGCGCCAGTTGACCGTCTGAGCCAGCCTCAGCCGTGCGCTGGTCCTCGGATCGGCGCCAGCTGGAGTCGATGCTGGAGTCGGTGCTGGCGTCGATGCTGGGTTCGCTGCTGGCGTGGGCGCCGGTTCGTGCTGTTGTCGGTGCTGTCCCTGTTGCAGCCTTCGGTGGTGAATACGCATTGTCTCCGATGCTTAAGTCGATGCTGGTGCCGATACTGTAGTGGATGCGGGCTCCGGTGCTTGGGTCCGTGCTGTCTCCGCTGCTCGCGTTGGTGCTGAGGTCGATGAAGGCATGGTAATGGTGCTGGTGCTGGTGTCGATTCTGGTGTTGGCGTCGATGCAATCTTCGGTGTTGGCGCTGCCCATGGTGCCGGTGGCGCTGATCCTCTTCCTCGATCGTCCCCGCCTCCTATTCGGCCACGACCTTCACGCCCCTGGTGGTCATCTGGCGTCGGTGCTGGGGTTGATGCTGGGGTCGATGTTGCCGTCGGTGCGGGCGACGATGCGGGCTC